CACCCTTTTCTATTCTTTTTTAAGGTTATTTGTCAAGAAGCCTGCTTACCTGTTGACGGGACCTCGTATGCTCCATCGGATTATTCTAGGGGTCCATTTGAAGGGAAGGATCCAGAAACATCTTCATCAATACTTGCAGAGGCTAGGAGCAGTATCGTCCTAATTCCTGACTATGGGGGCGGAAATTCCAGGCCACAAAGGTTGCTAACATTTTTACCTGATTTGCCTCCGGATTTAAAGGTACCTGAATGGCTTGTTTGTCTAACTCAGCTCTGCTCAAATCAATCTTTCATGGATCCCCCCAGTAAAGATCACCTTGGGTCAAAGGTCACAGGTCATCATGGTTCTCAAATACCTACCCATTTTGTAAGAGTTCCAAAGTGGACAATTACTCGGAAATTAGCACAAAAGAAAAGCAAGTATTTCCAAAAACGAATTGGGAAAAAAAATGAGTACAGCAAGCGAGGTGATGTTTCTGATGTTGTCTTTATGGCTCTTCCAATTAATTTCCAGTTTTTCTCCAACTTGACTTGCAATAACGTAGACGACGATAGAAGGCACCTGCTGTTGATGTAGAGCTCCCTTGTGCTATGTCTGCTGCATGATTCTTGAGCTACGATCTTCACCCTTCCTGTGCCTGTGTGTGCTCGTACACACAAAGCATTTTTAAACACGTGTGAGCCCAGGCAGCCTTCAATGTTCTAACAGAGATTCCCTACAGTCATTAATTCAGGGCTACCGTTGAGAAAAAAAAAACAAACAAACAAACAAAAAAAAAACGAATCAAATCCAGCCAAACCAAACCTTAGAAGGACTTTCCAAAAATAACACAGTTTTGTAGCTCATTCTTAGGGTGCAAAGCTATTAATTTTGACTTAATAAAAAAGTCAAAGTGTTCCTAGAAACAAGCAAGAAATAAATAGGGGCATTAAGATTATATGGAGGGGAAGAAACTGAGAAGCGAGCAAGGGGTTGTGTGAATGGAGTGTACTAAGGCAGCGTGTGCAGTGTGAATAGCCCAGGTTGGTTAAATGATGCATTTTATTTTATTTTATTTTTAAAATTTTAGATTATTGATTTTTGATAGAGAGACAGAGTGAGAGCGAGGAAGGGGCAGAGAGGGAGGGAGACACAGAATCCGAAGCAGGCTCCAGGCTCCAAGCTGTCAGCACAGAGCCTGAGGCGGGGCTTGAACTCATGAACCGTGAGATCATGACCTGAGCCAAAGGTGGACGCTTAACTGACTGAGCCACCCAGGTGCCCCAATACATGCATTTTAAAAGGTAGGTGCTCATGCCCACAACTCGTGGCCTTTGGAGAATCAAGGAGTTGGGTTTGGATGAAAGGAAGTAATTTTTTTTCCATGAGGAATGAGAAGGATTTTAAACTATTGTTTCTTTGAAGGGAGACCTCCAAATCTTAGCATTGAGATGCCTCATATTTGCCTCATGGTAAATATTTTTTAATTAATTAATTTAAATAATTTTTAATTATTTTAAAATTAATTAAAAGAAATGTTAACATTTCTATTATAAATTTTTAGGGCAAGAATTAAAAAGAAATCCATCTGTTGATATTTATTTTTCTTGTCTTCTGTTAACCAAAGATTTTTTGGAATGTTCCAGCGTAAAGTTACGACTTTTGTCCATCTTGGATAGGGACAGCTTCTGCAACTTGGGTCGTCCTGCTAGGGGAGAGGACACTTTAAAAGGGGCAGAACTTGGTGACCTTGCCCAGTGACCCTGTCTCTTCTTCATTCAGCAGAGGGAGTTTCCAGAAAGTATGGGCATGGCTCCAAGGTGCCAAATGGATTCACTCAAATGGTTGTTTATTCCCTTGGCATCGAAGGTGCGAGAAGTACGTTTCGAAGCACCCACTGTGTGCCAAACCCCGATCTGGATGCCTTGTCGATCTCGTGTAATCTTTTTTTTTCAATATTTTTTTTAAAGTTTATTTATTTATTTTGAGAGAGAGAGAGAGGGAGAGGGAGAGAGAGAGAATCCCAAAGAGGCCCCACACCCAGCACAGAGCCCGACACAGGGCTTGAGCTCATGAATGTGAAATCATGACCTGAGCTGAAACCAAGAGTCAGACACTTAACCGACTGAGCCACCTGGGTGCCCCTCTCCTATAATCTTTAAGTGATGTTACAAAGTGGTCATGAAGAATTTCCCTGTTTATGGGGCACTTGGGTGGCTTCGTCGGTTAAGCATCTGACTGCAGCTCAGGTCAAGAGCTCACAGTTTGTGGGTTCGGGCCCCGAGTCGGGCTCTGTGCTGACAGCTCGAGCCTGGAGCCTGCTTCAGATTCTGTCTCTCCCTCTCTCTCCGGCCCTCCCCTGCTTGTGCTCTCTCTCTTTCTCTCTCAAAAATAAATACAGTTTTAAAGAATAATAAACAAACAAATAAACGCAAGAAGCTCCCTGTTCCAATGAGACGGCACAAGAGAAGTTGTAACTTACCAGCTACATGGCTGAGCTGGTATTAAACCGGGTGTGTCAGTCTTTGTGGCTTTCCGTTGGGTCACACTTCTCAGAAGCTCTGGAATCACCATGCAGGGGAGATGGTGCCCCTGAAAGCCCACCAAGGAGGGAGGGGGATTAAGGCTGGTCCGGTCAAGCTAGGGCAGAGGTGGTGGTGCCCCAGCGGTCTCGGGTCAAATGAAGCCTGATCCTTTCGTAGCTTGATTTGGCCTCGAACTGGGAAACAGATGGGTCTGGGCTGTCTGAGGGTCTGGGGGAGGCTGAGCAGACAAATGGGTCCTGGCTGCAATTGCTCCTGCCCCGAGGGCCCAGGGCTGGGGGCTGCTTTGGGAAGGGGACCCCAGTGCGTATGTATCTTCTGACTTGTAAAACCTTGGATAGCAATTCATCTGTGAGGCTGCAAGGCTAGAGAGCTCTCACCCTTTCTGAGGGCAGCTGACTGGGAGACCCCGGGGCACGTTCAGGGAGGTAAGGCAGATGTCAACAGGTGTGTTAAAAACAAGGTGGCTGCTTGCCCAAAAAGAAGACCCCAAGGGCCACGGAAAGATGCCTAATGGACTTCATGCTCTTTCAACCGCAAAGACTCATCCTTTTGCAATGCCGGTTAGTGGGGTTGTTTCGAAGAGATGTGGGGTTGCCTAGCTGTGGGAATGCCCTGAAATTGGATAAGCGGGGACCCAGCTCACAAGTGTGGAATGAATGAATCGATGAATGGAAACGTGGACACCGATTCACTCACTACTCACTTATCAATAGGAAGGCCAACCATCTGGTTTGCCTAGGACCCAGTTGTTTCCTGGGACGTGGGACTTTCAGTCCTAAAATGAGGAATGTCCTGGGCACACCAGAACTAGATGGTCCCCCAGGTACTGAGAACTGATGATGGACCAGACCCTGGGCCCTGACGGGGCATATGGGGCTAAATCGGACGCAGTCCCTGCTCTCAAGGAGTCCACGTGTAGTCAGGAGAGATAAATATGACACGATAGGGTCACGTTCAAGAGCAAGGCTGTGGAGTCAGAAGCACCATGATGGCTTTTAAGAGGAGGAGCAGGTGCCAGAGGCGAGTCTTGCCGGGGGAGGAGCCCAACAGATCTCTGGAGAAGCTTGGGAAGAAGGGCTTTGGGACCCAGGGACAGCTGGGACAAAGGCCTAGGGTCTACAACAATGTGTTGCCGCAAGAAGCTGGGGGCACCATGTGTATGCGTTTGTGTGTGTGTCGGGGACAAATGGGGGAACACAGGGGTGATGGTGAGGTTGGAGAGGTCTCGGAGGGGCCAGGGGACAAGTTGTCGACCGTGTGAAGAAAAATGAAATTTATACTGTAGGCAATAGGGAGCTACTGAAGGCGTTTTAAGCCGGAGAGATAGAATCCAATATTACAAAACGTTTCATCCATTCAACAAATGTTTGCTAAGCGCCTACTGGGTGTTAGGCATTGTGCTAGGGGAGCGAATGCATGCTTGCAGGCATGGCTGTCTGCCAAAAAGTTTCTTTTTAATTTTCCAGTTGCCGAGAGGGTCCTTGAAATCCAGGGCCTGGCTGATAGGACGTTCGGGCCTGTTGGCCTCTGTCAGAAAAATTGTTCCGCAGTGAGCAAATCTAAGGAGGAGACCGCCGGCACCAGCTCCAACCTCCGCCCCTTATCTGTTTTTCTTTTTCCGAAAGACCTTGAGGACTGCAGCGGATTCCACTACAAAACGGTTACACAATTTCCCCCCAGAGAAAGCGAGCTTCCACCTTAGGGGATGAATAAGCCCTTTCTTTTCTGGAGAGCCGGCCAATGGAGGCCCCGGGCTGGGTGCTGCAGGAGGCACGGTGCGGGGGGACAGCAGGCCTCGCTCTACTTTGGGGGTGCCGGTGTTGTCATTAAACAGAGTCTGCACGGCAGAGGCGGGGGCTGCAGGCGCCCCGGGGAGGCCGACACGGCAGGGAACGGGGGTCAGCCTGCAGCGAGCGGGCGGCCCCCCAATTCCGCGCGGCCCAAGCATCCATTTTTCCGGGGCTGCGGGTCCTATAAATGGTGCCTTTGAGGAGAGCTGCCCTGGTGACAGCAGGTCCCTCCCTGCAGCACCCACTCGGCCACGGGATTCTGAAAGCTGATTGTCCCTCCTCAAGCCCTGCCCTCCTGCGACATTGCTCACGCTGACCATTGTCCGCAGAAAGAGGCCATTGTCTGGGGCTTACATACCTGCTGACGGAGGCACATGAAACCAGCAGAGCTTTGGGGAGACAGAAATCCACCCAAAACAACAAAAAAACCTGAGCCTAGCCGGAGGGCAGAGTTTAGACGGGGCTTGTTGAATTTCCTGATCTGCTGGTGTTCTTTCCAAGAGGAAATGCCCCCCATTATGGGAGGATCAGAGTTTTATCTCTGGGCTGGAATGACACCATTTGTGCCTTTGTGTCAACAGCACAGAGGGGCATTGTTTAGGGTTATGTGGCCGGCGCTGGGAAGGGCTTGTTTGAAGAGAAAAAAAGAGAAAACCCAGAACAATGTTTACCCAGCAGGCAGCTCCTGCCAAAGCAGCCGCCACCCCGTGCACTGGGATGTCAGCTGGCCCGCCCGGGCCCCCTCGGCTGTGCCTCTGACTCGAGTGCAGCCGCGCGGGCAGCTGGCGGGGACAGGTACGCCGTGCCAGCGCCTAAAGCACCAATACCCAGCACCGCCCCCGATCCAGAGCCGAAGGTCAGTGCCGGGAGAGCAGAACCGCCGCTCCGGGGTGCAGGCAGGACCCTGAGGTCTGCCGAATCGCTTTGGGGATTCAGCCTCAAGAGAGTTGCTACTCCAAGTGTGGTCCCCGCGCCAGCGGTCTCTGTCTTACCAGGAGCTTGTTGGAAACGTAGGCTCTCGGGGCGCCTGGGTGGCTCAGCCTGTTAAGCGTCTGACTCTTGGCTTTAGCTCAGGTCGCGATCTCACGGTGTGGTGAGTTCGAGCCCCGCGTGGAGCTCTCTGCGCTGACCGTGTGCAGCCTGCTTGGGGTTCTCTGTCTCCCTCTCTGCCTCTCCCCCCCTCACGCTCTCTCTGTCTCTCTCAAAATAAAATAGCGTAGGCTCTCGGGCCCCACCTCGGATCTGTCCCAGCTGAAGCTGCATTTTATTTATTTTTGAAAAAAAAAATGTTCATGTTCATTTAGACATGTTTATTTTTAATGTCTATTTAGACGGAGACAGAGCACAAGTGGGGGAGGGGCAGAGAGAGAGGGAGACTCAGAATCCGAAGCGGGCTCCGGGCTCTGAGCGGTCAGCACAGAGCCCGACGCGGGGACTGAAGTCACTAATGGTAAGATCACGACCTGAGCCGAAGCCAACCGTTGGACATTTAACGGACTGAGCCACCCAGGTGTCCCTTGAAACTACATTTTAACAAGATCCCCTGGATGAATTTACACCTTAAGCTTGAGAAGCATTGGTCTAAAGCAGGGGTTCTCAAACATGACTGCACGTTGACATCATGCGGAGAGCTTTTACAAGTTCCAATGACCCGCAGCATCTCAGGCCATTAATGTCAGGATCTCTAAGGGAGGAAGGACCATCAGTATTTTCTAAGACCCCCCAAGGGATTCCAAAGTATCTCCAAGTTTGAGGCACAGGAGTGAGGATAGTGCCCTCTTTCTCTGTCCCAGCACGGAGTCTGCACTGGTTATGATGTGGCAGTTCCTGAGCATTTTCGTTTTTTTTTTTTTTAATGTTTATTTATTTATTTATTTTGAGAGAGAGCACTTGTGTGCGAGAGCAGGGGAGGGGCAGGGAGACAGAAAGAGAGAGAGAGAGAGAGAGAGAGACGAGAGAGAGACACGAGAGAGAGAGAGAATCCCAAGCAGGCTCCACACTCAGCTCAGAGCCCATAGGTCTTGAACTCACGAACCGTGAAATCATGACCGAAGTCAAAATCAAGAGTCAGATGCTTTACCGACCGAGCCACCCAGAAGCCCCTCCTGAGCATTTTCTGTGTCAGAAATGCTGAGGCTTCATCGATGAAGATGGTTATGTGTTCATGACTACAGTGCCTTTCTGGCCAAAAGAACTCCTATTCATCCTTCAAAACCCAGTTAAAAAGCCTCCTCCTCCGTGATGCATTCTTAGATCTCCTGAGGCAGGGAAAAATGCTTCTTCCTCTGAACTCCCATGGCCCTCTGCCTCTCTGTATTGTTGCACTTGTCACATTAAGGTTTAGTGATCTATTTACTTGTCACTAGACTGGGAGCCTTGGCTTCAGGGACTGCATCGTATTTATCTTTGTATCCCTGGGCCTGGGGCGGGGCCTGGGCATGCAGTTGGCGCTCAATAAGTGCTGTTGACTGACAACATGAATATGAAGACAAATACCTGAATGAACGCAAGCCTGAGTGAAGACACCTGCCCTGCCTTTAAAAAAACAAAATTCGGGGCGCCTGGGTGGCGCCGTCGGTTAAGCGTCCGACTTCAGCCAGGTCACGATCTCGCGGTCCGTGAGTTCGAGCCCCGCGTCGGGCTCTGGGCTGATGGCTCGGAGCCTGGAGCCTGTTTCCGATTCTGTGTCTCCCTCTCTCTCTGCCCCTCCCCC